GCAGTACTGGAACAGAGAATTCCACAGAGTCCATTGATACATTCTCTCGTAAATTCCCTCGGCCAACATTTTTGGGGGCTTATTTTCTTTAATTAAAAAAAATAAAGTTCCCATTAAAAATATAAAACCTAAAGAGATTTTCTCCCCCTTTCCTACTGGAGCTCTGACAACCCAAGACTTGAACTAAGCAGACTCAACTAGGATTGCCAGAGAGGTTGGATAACTTTTATAATGTTTTAATATTATTATTATAATTTTTCTTCTTCATCTGTTTTTCCATTACGTAGCTTGAACCGCAACGTGAGCACTATAAAGCTAATTTCATTCCGTTTAGGCTCTTGGGCCCCAGGGGAAGATTCTGACTGCTTGGGAGGGTTCCAACTTTGGCCCTCAGATGGTACATGCCACAGGGAAGCTTGGCTAGGAGACCCCTGGGTGTCGTGAGGGTGTCTGTCGCTTCATGGAAAATTGACCGATACTCCTCATCCCCTGCCTGGTCTCTCTGAGATGTTTTCATATGACCAATAATGGCAGGCGCCCAGGGCAGAGATGGCTCCTCCCCTGGGGCTGGAGAAGTGGGAAGGAAATCGTGGGCTCCAAGCCCCTGCTCCCCTAAAGGCATACGCTACTTTATTTAAATTTTTTTTTTTAATTTTTGAGAGACTTTTGCTATTAGGGTGTGTGTGCTTGCCAGAGAGAGAGAAAGAGACAGAATGAGAAATCACCCCCCGCTCCCCAGGGAGGATGGCCATGCCATAATCCCTTCTCTGTTCTCCTCTTGGGATTTTGGGCATGCATGCACACACACCGGTATGAGTTTCAAGTTGCTGGGGCCGTGCATGCACACACACCGGTATGAGTTTCAAGTCGCTGGGGCCGGGACTTGAACCAGGGTTGACCACATGGGAGTCCAGTGCTTAACCACTATGCTGCCTGCTGGCCCAAGGCATATGATACTTTAAACATGGAAAGAAGTAATTAGGAGAGTGGGTTGAGATAGTTAGGGTATGCCCAGGTTGGAATACTGGTTGGGTCTCTGTCTAGTTCTGTGACGCAGGGCAAGTTGCTCAATCTCTCTGGACAGCAGTTTCCTAATCTATAAAACGGGAACAAAAAACCTACCTAATGGGGCCTGGCAGGTGGCATTGCTGGTAAGGCGCTGGACTCCCACATAGCTGACCGTGGATTGAGTCCTGGACCTGGCAGCTTGCTTTCTCACTCTCCCCTCACCCTCAATCTGTCTCTGTCTGGTCAAATTAAATAATAATAGGGACCAGTAGGTAGCGTGGTGGTTGATCGCGCTGGACTCCCACATAGCTGACCGTGGATTGAGTCCTGGACCTGGCAGCTTGCTTTCTCACTCTCCCCTCACCCTCAATCTGTCTCTGTCTGGTCAAATTAAAGTAAATAAGTAAATAAAGATAAATAAAATAACAAAAAATTAAATAATAATAATAACAAGAAAATTAAATGAAATAATTCTAATAAAAAAAAAAAGGACACCTTACCTCATAGGGTCACAGAAAGGGTGAAGTGGGCTAATGGAGTATCCTTCAAAATGTGTCATGTGGGGGCCAGCAGGTGGTGTAGTGGGTTAAGTGCTTGACTCCTACATGGCCGACCGCGGTTCAAGTCCCAGATCCAGCAGCTTGAAACTCATGGTGGGTGTGTGGGCATGTGTGCCTAAGATCTTGGGAGGAGAATGGAGGAGAAGGGACTGTGGTGCGGCTATCCCCCCAAGGGGTGATTTCTCACTTTCCCCCTCACTGTCTCTGTCTTCTCTGTCTTGTTCTCTTTCTGGCAAGCACTCCCGCTCTCAGGCAAAAATCTCTTAGAAAAAAGTGTCACATGTAGCTCTTTGTGCATGAGATGACTTCAGATGTACCATTTAATTTTAATAATTACGTACTTTTAAAAAAATTATTTAATTTTATTCATCATTATTATTATTTTTAAATTTGCTACAGGGCATGCATGCTCACCAGAGAGAAACAGAGAGAGAAAGAGAGGGAAAGTGAGAAAGCAAGCCTCCAGGTCTGGGACTTGAACCATGGTGGGTCATGTGGGAGTCCAGTGCCTCAACCACTATGCTGCCTGCTGGACTCACTATGTTCTTATTTTAATTGCAATTGAGAAACTATAATTAGAGGCCGGCAGATGACATGGTGGTTAAGATGCTGGACTTCCACCATGGCTAACTGCGGTTCAAGTCCCAGACCTGGTGGCTTGCTTTCCCACTTTCCCTCTCTTCTCTCTCTAGTCAAATTAAAAATTAATCAATTGATTAAATAATGCTTTTTTTTTTTAAAAAAAAGAGAACATTTCTACTGAGTTGTAGCATATCCCTACTCCCAGGATTTATGGTTTCAGTTAAAAAATAAATAAATAAGAGAAACTATAATTAGCTCCAAGCTCATAGTTTCCACAAATATTACTTCTAGTGAGGCTCAACTTATTTGGGTAAAAAATTGATTTAGGTGCCAACAGGTCGTATGGAGGTTAAGGTGCTGGATCCCACATGGCTGACTGCATGTTTCAAATCCCAGGTCCTGCAGCTTGAAATTCACACCAGATGTGTGTGCATGTGTGCCCAAAGTCCTGAGAGGAGATTGGAGGAGAAGGGATGCCAATATGACCATCTCCCCTACAGGGCAATTTCTCACTTTCTCCTCCTCTCTTTCTCTCTCTGGTGCATGCATTCATCCTATAACAACAATAACAACAACAACAAAATTGGTTATAGGAGGCCGGACAGTGGTGCAGGGGTGATGCAGTGTTCTCCAAGGCTGACCCACGTGGAAGGTTCTGGGTTCGTATTTGGATCCCTTCTTGAACACACCGGGTACAAATGTGCCTATGGTTGAAGACTGGCTGAGCTTGGGGGTGGATTGCTGCGTGAAGACCAGGTTGGGCATGTCCCCCACTTAGGGAAGGAAGAAATGTAGTTTAAAAATAAATGAAAAAGTAATACATTAAAGAATATAGGACTCTAGGTTATGGCAAAAATTGTGACTGTAGACGTTAGGATTTACATATTTCTGCTAAAGTGGGAGTTTTCTTTACTTTTTTTTTTTTTTGGTAGAGATTTTTCCCATAGAGCATACGCGCTCACTGGAGAGAGAGTGAGAGAGAGAGGTGAGAGGGCAAGTGAGGAATCACCCCCGCAGGGGGGATGGCCATGCCACAATCTCTTCTCATCCATTCTCCTCCTGGGATCTTGGGCACACAGGCACACATACCCAGCGTGAGTTTCAAGTTACCGGGTCCAGGACTTGAACCACGGTCAGCCATGTGGGAGTCCAGTGATGTAACTGCTATACCATCTCCTGGCCCCAAGAGCTGATCTTAATCCTTTTAATGCCTTGTCTGTCTCTGACGACATGTTGAAACCTATAGATTACTTTTAAAAAAAATTAAAAAAAACAATTATTTATTGGGGAACCAGCAGTTAGCGTAATGGCCATGTCGCTGGACTCCCACGTAGTCGACCGTGGTTCGCGTCCCGGACCCGGTGGCTTAGAACTCACGCCAGGCGCATGTGTATGTGTGCCCAAGATCCCAGAGGAGAATGGAGGAGAAGGGATTGTGGTGTGACCATCCCCCCCTGGGGGGTGATTTCTTGCTTTCTGTCTCTATGTCTCTCTCTGTCTGGCGAGTGCATGCGCCCTATAGCAAAAACCTCTCAAAAAATTATTTATTTAATTGTATCTATTCATTCATTTATTTGTTTTAATTTGACCAGAGAGATACAAAGAGAGAAAGGTAAAGTGAGAAAGCAAGCCACCATGTCTGGGACTTGAACTGTGGTCTGCCATGTGGGAGTGTCCAGTGCCTTAATCACCATACCACCTGCTAGTCCCAAAACCTCTGGAACACTTTTCAGAATAATCTGAATAAATGCATAAAGTAAAATAACATGGGTTATAAAGAAAACCAATTATACTGGAATATGGTTGTCAAAATATTTTAGAATGGCGAACTTTATGTGAACTTTATGAGTGCCTTGTCCGAGATTCCTCTCCCAACACTTCTTCCCATCCTGAGTGGTGGCAGTCCTGTCCCCTTGATGGGTGTGGGAATATTAGGGTCAGACCAACTTCTTCTTACCCACTGGGGTGTTTCTCTCCATGATCTCTCTCTCTCTCTCTCTCTCTTTTTTTTTTTAAAGAGACTTGTACATGCGCTCATGAGAGAGACAGAGAGACAGAAAGCAAGAAATCACCCACCAGGGGCAATGCCCACGCCTCAATCCCTTCTCCTCTTGGGATTTTGGGCACACACGCACATGGGCCTGGTATAAGTCTCAAGCCACCAGGTCTGGGACTTGACCTAGGGTTGGCCATGTGGGAGTCCAGTGCCTTAACCACTATACAACCTGCTGACCCCTCCCTCTTCTATCTTTAAGCTGGCCCCTCTAGACTCTTCTGCAGTCTTCCACTTCTAATTCATTTCCTGACCTCCTGTTTCTTCTGGGTGACCCAGTGCTGCTTGCTCTTTTATTCCTCCTTCCCAGGAGAGGGTCCTACTGAAGTTTCCAAGTCTTTATGAGAAAAACAAAAACAAAAACAAGGGAACATCTGCTGTAAAACTTGATGGTGAGAGAATGTGGAGGGACCACTCCTAAGTGCGAGGAGCCTAGATTTGCAGCACATTAGAGGCTGCTGTCCGTATGGTGTCACTGAGCTTTTTAGGCTCTGTTTACCTGTGTGATTGCTGAGGTGTGGAAGGGTTGCGTCTCACCAGGGCACCCTGGACACTCAAGTCTGTGCCCAGTGAGTTTCAGGCTGACCAGGCCGGGGATGCAAACTCTGGTTTGATCTGGCTTCTCTGGAGCAGTGTGTTACCACCGTGGCATAGAGCTCAACTTCTTTTCTTTTTTTTTTTTAATTTGTGTTTTATCCAGTGACTTTTCTCGTAAACTCTTTGACCTGTGGTTCTACCAGTGGGGGAATTTGTATCAGGAGACTAACAAATATTATTTTCTACCTTCTCTCTTTCAGTAAAGAATATCCTGTGGTTCCCAGGAGCACAGTGAGGCAAAAAGTGGCTTCCAACCACAGTCCTTTCAGCAGCGAGCCTCGCGCTCTCTCCGCCTCATCCAACTTGGGCTCTCAGTACCAGTGTGAGAACGGTGTCTCCGGCCCCTCCCAGGACCTTCTTCCTCCACCCAACCCATACCCCCTGCCCCAGGAGCACGGCCAGATTTACCATTGCACCAAGAGGAAAGGTGAGTGTGACGGCTCCTGACCAATTTGCCTTCTCCTTGGCCACCCTTCTTTGCTTTCTCGGTGGGGAGGAGCTGCGGAAGTGTAACTGCATTCATTTATTTAAAAATCTGTGACCATGCTTCCTCCAGTTCCAGCCCCTTCCTGGGAGAACTTATTTGAAATGTCCATAATTATGGTATGCATTTACACCCACAGGTACGTACACACCACACATATACGCACACCCAGAAATTGTCTTTCAAACATAGATGGAATCACATGGTATGTATTTTGCAACCTGATACATACCTATGTATAATTTGCTAGCGGGTGTATGTACTCGTTGGAGAGATGCAGAGAGAGAAAGAGAGAGGGAAAAGGAAAGCACCCTCCATGGTGCACGGCCATGCTGCAGTCCTTTCCTCTCCACCTCTCCTTCTGGGATGTGAGACATGCATGCACATATGCCTGGCAGGCTCGGGACTTGAACTGCATGGTTGGCTACGTGGGATCCAGCCTCCTTAACCACCATGCCATTGTGTTTTAGATATCTCTTTATGGACCTGGACCTGCCTCATTCTTTTTAACTTCTGAAGAGGAGGGAGGTATTGCCTAGAAAGAGGAAGGCAGAGTTATTATTATTTTAGAGATTTTGCTATCGGGTACATATACTCACTGGAGAGACAGAGGAACAGAAAGTGAGGAAACCCCCCCCCACCCTCAGGGGGACGTCCTTGCCACAATCCCCTCCCCTCCATTCTCCTCTTGGGATTTTGGGCACGCACGTACACATGCACCCAGCGTGCATTTCAAATCATCAGGTCCAGGACTCTAACTGCGGTCAACCAGGTGGGAGTCCAGCGTCCCAACCACGATGCCGCCTGCTGATCCCAAAGCAGAGTTATTTTGTCACCCCCCCAGGGGGCTGGAAGGGTGCATCCAGGGTTCCGGGTGATGTTAGACGTCGCAGGGCAGGGGACCTCCTTGTTATCATTCATGACTCTGGTACAGAAGCCCAGTGTTTCCCCTCGATGGGTTCTGAGCTCTTTTTCTCTTTCCAGTTCAAAACCACCACCACCATCACCACCGCCGCCACCACCACATGCGCACACACAAACACGTACATTGCAACTGATTTCTCCTTTTTGATGCCATCTATAAATGTATTAAACCGGTGCTGAAGCCCTCCGAAGCTTTCTCTGCCTCGTGAGAAATAGATGACTTTTTGGGAAGTCATCTAAGTTCAAAGGGGCCCTACTAAAAAAGGAATTTTTGAGGGTGGCAGGTGGCGTGGTGGTCGTTAAGGGCATTGGACTCCCACGTGGCTGTGGTTTGAGTCCTGTACCTGGCGGCTTGCTTTCTCACGTTCCCTGTCTCTGTCCCTCTCTCATCAAATAAAAAATAAATAGATACAATTAAATAATAAAATAATTCAAAAAAAAAAAAAAAAGGAATTTTCTGGTGGCTCTCTAAGTGAGCCAGAATTGACAAGGTGGAGGGAGTGGTGTGGTGAGTTCAGCTCACTGGAACAGTTGCGTGGTGTGAGCTGCAGACGGGCAGATTGTGGGGAGGTGCAGGCAGTGGGGCTAGAGGAAAGTGGGTTTGAATCTTGGCAGTGTTTCCAGTTTCTTGAGTGACCTCAGGCAGGTGTCCCTCCCCCCGATCATCAGTTTCCCGCTTTGTAAATGGCAGTGAGTCTCTGCAGCACGCGATCCTCAGTAAGCACTTGGTAGGTGGTAACTCCAATCAGATAAAGGAAGGCTGCTTATTAAAGAGAGCTTGGGGACCAGCAGATAGCATAGTGGTTACATCACTGGACTCCCACATGGCTAACCGCAGTTTGAGTCCCAGATCCGGTGGCTTCAAACTCACGCTGGGTGCATGTGCACACATGCCCAGAATCCCGAGAGGAAAATGAAAAAGAGATTGCAGTGTGCGGTGTAGCCATCCCCCCAGGGAGTGATTTCTCGCTTTCTATCTTTCTGTCTCTATGGTAGCCCCTGGACCCTATAACAAAAAACTCCCCCTCCTAAAAAAAAAAAAGAGAGAGAGAGAGAGAGAGAGAGCGCTTGGGAAGACAGACAGATACAGAGGAGGCGTGTAGACTTGCGTAGATCTGTGGTCTTCAGAATCATCTTCAGGATCATCCAATGGGGATGAATTCCCTGTTTGCCATTTGGAAATGTTTCCAAATTGGGACAAGTTCCTTGACCTCTCGAAACCTATTTTTCTTTTCTTTCTTTCTTTCTTTTTTTTTTTTTTCCAAGAAATTTATTTAATCAGAACTACAGAGGGCTCCTGAAACCTGCCTGTATAATAAGGCCCGCAGATGATTATAGGTTTTGGTTAAAAGTGTGGTTTAGAAGCAATTTTAACCTTGATTCTGTGTCATATTAGATTATACAATAAAATTAAATTAGAAGGCATATAATTGAACACAAGAATTCCTTTATACAAAGTATGAATAGATATCTAAATACAATATGGTTTTTAAAATGAAATTTACATGCATGTAACTATATTCATAAAGATTAAGTATACCTAACCACAAGCTGTACAGTGAGAAACATTAACAGGGCAAATCCAGGGACAAATGAAGACATTCGTCTGAATTCTGTTTCGCTGAACATCAAAAACCACCAACCTTGGGACCAGCAGATAGTGTAATGGCTACATCGCTGGACTCCCATGTAGTTGACCACGGTTCAAGTCCTGGACCTGGTAGCTTAAACTCACGCCGGGCGCATGTGCATGCATGCCCAAGATCCCGAGAGCAGACTGGAGAAGGGATTGCAGCATGGCCATCTCCCCTGGGGGGTGATTTCTCGCTTTCTGTCTTTCTGTCTCTCTCTGTCTTTCTAGCGAGCGCACGCACCCTATAGCAAAAACCTCCCCTGCAGCCCCCCCCCCCAAAAAAAAAAACCCCACCAACCCTTTAGTTCTTTTCTTATACATTATTCTATATCCATATTCTCTGCATCTGATTGGATCTCTGGGTTTTCTTTCATTTTCTGTGTGACATTCTCCACAGATATGTATCATTGGCTGCTGCTTTGGGGGTTGAACGTCCTTCTGGGGGTCCAGAAGGACACAGTGTTTGCGCAGCACGAAGAGACTTCTCACTCCACACTGCCAGACAACCAGGCTCCTAAACCTATTCTTCTTTTGTTTTTAAATGAGAGAAAGAGAGTGATACGGAGAAATAGAGAGAAGTGTTTTAGATAGAGTCTTGCCAGGCCATGATCCACCAGCTCCAGCCTCTTGGTTTGCCGGGGTTACGGGCATGAACCACCATACGTGGTGTACTTAGGTTGGGCTGGGATCCAGACCCGAGTTTCCCATGTGACTCCAGCATTGTATGCAATGCTCCTCCAGCTGCACCACCGCCGAGGAGCCTACTCTGTTTGTTTCCCACCTGTCAGTTTGGGCTCAAGGTAGGACTTGTCTCCTAGGCTTGGTGTGAAGGCATGATAAAAGCATGCGTGCCAGGGGCTGGCGCAGGGTGGTCTCGGGAAGTAGCAGTTCTGCTCTAAGAGGCTCAGGCTTAGTCTTTAAAAAAAAAAAAAGAATTATTTTATTGGGGACCAACAGGTGGCATGGTGGTTAAGGTACCGGACATTCCCACATGGCCGACCACAGTTTGAATCCCAGACAGAGCGGCTTGCTCGCTCACTTTTCCTGTCTTTCTCTGTGTGTGTCTCTCTCTGGTCAAATTCAAATAAATGAATGCATAAATAAATTTTAAAGAATGATTTTATTTAACTATTTAATAGATGGAGAGAGTGAGAGAGAGAGAGAAAGAGAGGGAGAAAGGGAAAGTGAGAAAGCAATCCGGGACTTGAATTGCAGTCCACCATGTGGGAGTCCGGCACCCTTAACCACAGCGCCATCTGCCGGCCCCATCGAGCTTAGTCTTCAGAGTGACCTGCTATAGTTCACGGCCTCAGAAGCCAACACAATGCCTTTGGAAGTCCAGTGCCTCGTGTCTGGACAAACTTACCAATGAGAACCAATGGAGAGGGGTGCTTTGGCAGCTTTCTCCAGAGCTGGGGTTATGCAAGGAGAGTGCCACAGTTTAACTATTTGACATTTACCTATCTGCATTTGGAAGGAGGGAAACACTGCCATTGGTCCAAGCAGGGGCTGGGGAATTGACCTGGGTGAGGCTTGACTTCCAGCCTTACCTGAAGCCCACCCAAACTCCTTGGATCTCGAAGGCCTCAATAACATCACTGCAACAGGCCCCCTGGCCCAACTCCCAGCACATCCGCCGCTGGGTGGACTGGAGACCAGATGCCTACAAACTGGGCGTGTCTCGAGGCAAGAGCGGGAGGTCAGAAACCTCCCGTGGAACACAGTCTCTGCACGGAAATCCATTTTCTATTATATTCAAGGGTGTCCTTCTAAAGCCCTAGACCACAGCCTTTTTCAACATTATTCACGAGGTTATTATTAACCCACTTTACAAGTGGGGAAACCGAGGCTCAGAAAGAGGAAAAGGTGCCTGCGGTTGCCGAAAGTGAAATTTGAACCCAAGCCGTCGTGCACCCTGTCTCGCCTGCTCTCACCCCGTCCCCAACCCCCCGCCCCGAGTCTAGACTGCTCCTGTTATCTTCGCTTCTCAGCTCCGATTTCGACATTTCATCTTTTATTAAAGATCTGCTCTTGAGACCTGGTCGAACATGTCGATTAAGAGCTCACCAGGTTTGAATTAGGGAGACCCTGCCGATTAAATTAATGCCAGACCAAAAGAAGGGGAGGAAGAAGTTAAAAAGAATCCAGGCACTTTTTCGATTCGATATTTACGGCAGCATCCTTATAAACACATTCCTGAAGGATGCGGTGGGAAGGCTTCGAATGCAAGGCGAGTCAACCTCTGAGGTTATATGAGCAGTCAACATTCACGGAGCAGTGGCGAGAACCTCAAATGAACTCGAGATGCACTTGGGGTGGCTGCTCTGGGAGCTGGAGCTGACTGGCCCATTGCAGAAATTATCATGGAGCTGCCACTCTGCCACTG